CATTGACAAGGGACCAGTGAGGTGGGATCAGGTGAGATGACGCTCAGGGGCAGAAACTGAATTCAGGGAACTTTTTCTGCTCAGTCACTGATCTGTTTTCCCCTTTGCCCCCTGACACTATTTGGAAGAAGGGAAAAACCATTCTAAACAATCGAAAAAATAAAAAAGGAAATATTTGAGAGAGGCCCAGAAAACCCATTTCTAAAAAATGTTGTCATAACACCCCGGAGAGACAGTGGGCGCAGGTCCAGTCCCCAGAAGCCCCCGCCCCTGTCCCGGGTCTGCAGAAGGCACAGACCCTACAGGGCTTTGAGCGCCTGGGTGGGACCTGCTGGCCCCTGCGGCCCTGCGGAGCTACATCCACGTGGCCACTGGACGGCCTCCCAGTGTGTGGGCGTGGCCAGGCGGGCGGGCCCAGGAGAAGCTGGAAGCTGGGCTGTGCACCTCTAATCACGGTGATCAGGGCCCTTCCGGGTCAACCTGGCTGAGGAGTCCGCGCTGCAGGCACCGTGTCTGATGCGGCCGGCCCTACCGCTGGGACCCTGAGCCCGCGGCCAGCCCCGCGACCCGGGGCACTGGGTTCCGCCGGCCCGCGGCTTGGCCGCCCTCTGCTGGACAGAGCGGGAAGTGCCGAAGCCTGTGCTCTGCGCGGTCCTCTCCGCTGGAGGATGACACGGAGCCACCGGGAGGAGTGTCCACTGTGCCTACAAGGTCCGAGCCTGTCCGGCTCCCGCAGAGAGCCGATGTCCGCACCGCACGGCCCCGAGCCGCTGCCACCTCTGCAGAGGGACACAGCGGTGGCCCAGGATGGGGCGCCTGCGCAGTCGGAGCAGAGCATCCTCAGCGTGCGGAGCGGGAGCGGGCCCAGGGACCCCCATCCAGTTTGTGGGTCCCTTCCCGGAGGTCAGGGGCGACCTCAGGCCCAGTTCTTGGGGATACCGCGTGGTACTGGACTTGGGGGTCCAACTTGTTCAGCCTTTTCCCCGGCCACATCTCTTCTGAGGACACAAGGCATATTGTCACCCCACAGGGGCAGGCAGGGGAGATGCGATTCAGCCCCCCGGGTGGGGGGGTGGTGGGGGGAAGGTGTGGGGCAGGCGAGGACTGGGGGTTCTGAGGCTGAAAGTCTCTCACCGAGAGGCTCCCCCGCCTCAGAAAAGGTCAGGCTCTGGGGTAATTCTCCTCACGGAGGACTTGGGGGTTTAGATAAACCAACAAACCAGGTTGTTTTAAACTATTAAGTGTGTAGAAAATAATAATAATAAACATTTAAAAAGAATTTTTCAGCCACACCCAGTTGTGCTCAGGGCTTTATCCTGGCTCTGTACTCGGGGATCACTCCTAGCAGGGCTGGGGGGAACCATAGGGTTTATCCGGGGTGAACCTGACTTGGCCACATGAAAGGCAAGTGCCCTACCCACTGGGCTAAATCTCCAGCCACCAGGAAATGATTTTTTTTTCTTTTTGGGTCACAGCCGGTGATGCTCAGGGGTCACCCCTGGCTCTGCGCTCAGGAATTACCCCTGGTGGTGCTCAGGGAACGATATGGGATGCTGGGAATCAAACCCAGGCCGGCCACCCACGTGTAAGGCAAATGCCCTACCCACTGTGCTATTGCTCCAGCCCCAGGAAATGGATTTTATTCTCAAAATTGAAGAGTGCTCGGTTATCTTTCCTGCTTAGAAGAATGACTAGGGTTCCCGGGAAGCAAACAAGATGGGATGGAAAAGGGCAAAGGTGTGACCGTCACAGGATGTCCCAGGATGCCTGCTGCAATGGAGGCGTCCACTGGGCACATGATGCCTTATGTATATAAAATGTTGACATGGACACATACCAGGGGCCCATGATTCTGCCCACCCACAGGGAGAATTAGGGCATGTCGTCCAGTTCAGAGGGCTGGGCTCCTGCCAGCTGTAGAAGTGTCCTTTTGTGGCATCCTTTGATCGGGGCACCCTCAGAATCCGGCCCAGCAGATGAGGACGCTGGGCCTGGAAGACGATGCGCCAGACCTAGGGCAGCCTGGGGGACTGGGGGACTCACCCGGCCAGTAGTCCTGGGGCCGAGGCAAGGAAGGCCAAGTTCGAGTGAAGTGCAGGTGGTGGGGTGTGGGAGACTAGGCTTGAACAAGGGGCAGAACTCAGCTAGATCAGCCGGTAAGCACTCAACTCCATTTCCCGATGGTGGGTGCTCTCCAGGGCCGACCCCTGCATTGTGCAGGATGCAGAGAGCAGGGGTGCGGTGAGCAGGGGGTGCTTATGCCTCCTCCTCTCCCTTGATCGCTGCTGCAAGTCTGGAGGCTACACCCTTGCCTGTGATATGCCAGTACACTGGGCTGTAGTGCTGGAGACCCAAGACTCTAGGCCATGGTGCTGGAGACCCCAGGACCCTGGGCCCTGGTTCTGGCGACCCCACTCAGAAAGGTGGGGCAGTGCCGGGGGTTGAACACTCTCCACCTCTGGAATGCAGGGCTCCACCGAGCCCTTCCCAGCTTCTTTTGGACTGTTCCATTCCAATTCCATTCTGTTCCATTCCATTTCTATTGTGTTCTGTTCCATCTCAGCCCATTTCAATTATATTCCATTTCAATTGCCATTCCAATTCTATTCCACCCCACGTCAGTGGCTTTTTCTCCACCAGGGACACCCACTCTGCTTCTCCCCGGGAGACTAGTGAACAGGGGCTGGGAAGGGCACTCCAGGGGCCCAGGGAAACAGGGAGCAGTTTCTGCCCCCAAAGCACCGAGGGGACTCAGGGTGCCTGGCTGGTCTGGTTCTATTTGAAGACGAAGGCAGAAAATCAAATTACAAGCATGGTGTTCGGTTTCCAGAGCACAAGGGCCTGGGTGGCTCAAGTCTGTGCAGTGACATGGCAGGGCCTCTGGGGTTCTGGGGGTGGATGGTCCAGTTCTTGTGCCTGAGGGGAGAGGCGCGTGCCCCTGCAGGACCCGGGAGCCCTTCCCCACAGAGGCTGTAAGAGGAACAGCCTGAACCTCCTAGCTCTGCCCAGACACATCTTGTCCACCAGGCATGACCCTGGGCCTGAGGAGTGGCCTGGGCAGCTTGTGGGGGTCTGGGTCTGCAGGCTGCATGCCCACCCCAGGTGAGTTGGGTCCTAATGGGGCAAGGGGCTGAACCTGGGTCACAGCGGCTCTCCCTGCTGCCTCTGCACTTAAATGTGACCCCCATCACCGTGTCTGCCCACACCCCAAAGCTCCCCTGCATCAGCTGGAGGAACGGGCTGGAGAGAGGGAGGACCAAGGGGGCAGAGGACATGAAATGAGCAAATGAGTGGCTGGCGCCACCTCTTCCCAGAAGGAGGGCCCTAGAGCCACATCTCAACCTCTGCACTGTTCATTTTCATGTGTCTATGGAGACTGTGATGCAATGTGGTCAGGCTGTGCAGAAATCAGTGTGTGTGTGTGTGTGTGTGTGTGTGTGTGCGCACGCACGCGCCACACCTAGCTGTGCTCAGGGCTTATTCCTGGCTCTGCGCTCTGGGTTCACTCTTGGTGGTCCTTGGGGGACCACAGGTGGTGCCGGGATGGAGCCAGGGCCAGCCCTGTGCAAGCAAGCACTCTATCTCTCTGGCCCCTCAGAAATCCAATTTTTGGGTTCTGGAAATAGGAGTCCATAGATATGTCCTTAAGGACATCAATAAGTATGCCCCCCCCCCCCCGAACAAATCGAGATCTCAGAGGCTGCCCACCCCTGCCCATCCCGTTTTCTCTACAATGCTTTCTTTAATAACATTTTTTTTTTGACGCTGAGGTTCTAAATGTGTAAAGCAGAGTACGCAGCAACCTCCTCACAAAGCCGTCTTCATGCCGGGTTCTGCGGGAATTGGAAACGGCTCGTGTTATCCATCCCTTAAAGAATCCCTAGTGCTCAGCCTCCATGAAATGGATTGCTTATGGGGAGATAATGTCTGTTCTATTCCTTTTTAAGTCTGTGAAAAATGTCATCCTGGTTAATAGGGTGATTAAAACTCTTTATGCTCTAGGAGATAAATGTGATTATGTTTGTCATACTCTACCCAAGATAAAGACAGTGAGGAAGGCAAACTTGAAATTCCATAAAGCTTCCCCTCTTCCATATCCAGGAACATTCAGAACTCAATACACAGATGGCTCTTCACATAAAGAATAACATTATCTGTTAAACATTTTTCCTTTCCATTAACCAATTTAACAATATGCCTCTAGCATGAAAGGAATCGGCAAATGACAGCACCCACTGGTATCTGGCTATAGAAGAACACCTTGTGTCAAATCACTTGTTTTCCTTTAAATGTTCACCTTGGGTATCTCATTTCTGCTTCTTACCACGTGACTGGAGCCCCTGCTTGTGCCTGTTCTTGGGGAGCTTGTTTCTCTCCACACTCCCTCTGCAGCTGACTGAAGAATATGCTTGATTATCTGTCCCTGACAGGAAGGAAGGGCAGAGATGGACTGACAGACACGTCTCGGAGGGTCTGGAGAGAGCTGGGCACTACACTCAGGTGTGTCTTCAGATCTCCTCAGGCCCTTTGGTGCCAGCCCTGTGGAGAGGGGACACCCATGTGGCGCCCTGGGAGTGCCTCGCTGTCCCTGCAGCCAGGCTTCCAGGGCACCAAGTGGAGTCTTTGAACTTGAGTTCTGTGCAGAGCCTGGCGTGAGTAAGCAAAGCCGTGCTTTCTTCCTTCAGTGTCCCAGGCCAGCTGAAATTCTCATTCCACCCATCTATTGGAGATTTTTTACAAAATCAATAGGTTTCCTCCATCTAGACTCCAGCTATAAATTGTTTTAGCAGCTTCCATCCTAGTATAAAGGGGAACCTAGAGCTAATAATAGGAAACAAAATTGGTTTATTTTGGCTTTCTTTTCTTCATTTCATTCAAATGTTGGAAATCTCTGCTCAGCAAAGACTGAGTTAAAAAAAAAATGAAAGATTGTTCAAGAGTTTTGGTTACCTCCTTTCTTTGAATCTTGGATTTTTAGCAAGTTAAATATGAACCCCAGACGCTGATTACACCTGTTTAATTAACAATGCAGCAATTTAAAAAGGGTAACACAGTCCAGAGAAAAATGTTACATTATGCACTTGACATTTCATTTAAAAAATTTCCTTAGAACTAAAAGGTTTCATTATTACAGATAAATTTCAAATGTACTTTATTAAACTTGATTGCTAATTAGAGCCTAAGCAATTATAAAGAAATTGCACAATTGATACTAAAATGACCAGGGGTTATTTTTCTGGACATATTATCATATTAAAGTATTTCTAATCTTTAAGAAAATTTAACCTTCAGTAAGTATAATTGGATGTAAAAATTATTCTGTTTTCTGGAAGAGATCATGGGTACAGGGAAGGATAGGTATGAGGGTAAGAATTCATCGTCAGCAGTCTCATTAGGAGGGTGGGACTGAGTCCTTAGTGCTGAGACTCAATATTCTGGTAACTTCTTGGTAAAAAATATTTAACACAAGCTGAGGCTGGAGACAATACAAGGATGAACGTGCTTAACTTGCAGCCAACCCTAGTTCCATGTCTGGCACTGCACTGTTGGTAGTGGCCCAACTCCTTCCCAACATGAGACTGTGTGTGTGTGTGTGTGTGTGTGTGTGTGTGTGTGTGTGTGAGAGAGAGAGAGAGAGAGAGAGAGAGATAAAGGAGAAAGAGAGGTGACAGAGGAGAGAGAGGGAGGAAGGGGTAGAGGGAGACAGAGAAAGGAGAAAGAAAGTAGAAAAGAGTAGGAGAGAGAAAGGAGAGGAGAGTGGGAGAGAGGGAGAGAAAGAGAGAGAAGAAGAGAGGGAGAGAAAGGTGATAACTGAGACAAAGCTATTACTGTTAATCAGTAAGGAACAGGGCCAACATATCAGAAAAGTGTATCTTTATATCGATGATATATTTTAGCATGGCTGTGCATTTTCAAACTATGGTAATAAGCAACTGGTCTCTTGTCTAAGCATTTTTTCAGGATTTAAAGGTGAGATCATCAAGTAACTAGTGAGCATAAGGGATCAAAGGATGAGCTTGGAAGAACACCTCTCTCTACTGCTTGACTTACAGCTTTCCCAGGAACCCAGAGCCACGCCCACTGCCCAACCTAGAGAACTGACCCAAGAACCTGGTACTTTGGAGCAGACCAATCAGACCAAGGTGTCTGGGTTCTGACAAATACAGGCTGAGAAGAAAGGTGGTTGAAGTGTGAATACTACTTCAGCTATACGAAGAGATAAGATCTGACAGTTCACGGAAACTTAGAACTGGAGGGTGTCATGCTAGGTGGAATAAGCCTGAGGAAGATCGGTAAATTCTGCCTCTCTCTCATCTGTGGTATACAGAGAAACAAAACAAAGAAATAGTATCAAAATGACAAACCTTTGGGTTTGGATTACAAAACTCAGATTGTCAAGTAGTGGAGGGAGGGCAGGGGTGTTAGGACAGGGGCAGTGACGAGATTGACTAAACACATGACAATGGTGGAAGGTCCTGGGCACTCTGCTACTGGTGATGAACAGTAACTTTGCGCATCAACTGTGTCTGGCATATCGAATACTCTCAGTAGCTTGCTGGGCTCTCCGAGAGGGGCGGAGGAATCGAACTTGGGTCGGCCATGTTGGCCGCTTGTAAGGCGAACGCCCTACCCGCTGTGCTATCGCTCCAGCCCCTTTGCGCATCAACACCAGTAATAAATGTTAACACTATTGTTACCGAAACTTTAATACAAAAAAATCATAAAATACCGTCCAAAATATAAAGAAATTCATATAAGTGGACACATTGAAGAACTAAAGCTGTTTGGAATCTGTTTATAAAGATTTTCCATCATGCATTATGCATTATTTTCAGATACAAAACCTGGTTTCATCTGTGTTAGTCATAAATGGAAGTATTTTCCCCAGAATGTCCTCCACATAGAAAAGCAGTTATTTGAAAACAGCTTTCCTAACTTTGGAACAACTTTACACATCCCAGAAATTACACACACATAACACAAGACACGGAATTCTAGTGTCCCACTGAAACAGTCAAGTCTGCAAGGTTACCAATGGAGAAATCAGCCCGAGTCCTCTGCTATGGTGTCTACAAAGCCACACTTTTCGTAGTAGCTCTTTTGGAATACCTTCGCCAGCCTCATCTCATTTGGATTTCCATGCTTCTTCCCACTCAACAGGCGATTCAGAGTTCTTCGGAATTGCTGGAAATATTGATTGCATTTTACTTCGAAAGTCTTCCAACTGGAAAAAAGAAAAGTCATCAAATGACAAGGGAAAAGAAGTCCAGGGAGATGGCTCAAAGAACTAGTGTTAGTGCTTTGTAAGTGAAGAGCCAGAGTTGGGAAGTGAATAGACTCATCCACATTCCACCTCTGTAGTCATCCAGAACCTGGTCAGGGGCTGAGAAGGGAGAGGTGGGATGACTCCAGGAGACTATCCTGCCTCCATCTGGCATTGCCCTCAACATCACTATTTTTTTTTTATGTTATTCCCCAACTCTTCTGTTTCACTTGTTCCTAAGGTGTAATTGAGCCACTTGGGTGTTCCCAGGGTGTAATTGAACCACCATCAGGAATCACAGTAGAGGGAGAGAGTTAATAGGAACAAGCAAAGTTTCATTTAGTTAGTGAAGGGTGGAGGCTGGAGAGGGGGAGATAAAGAAATACACTGTCATCTTCTTTGATTTTACAGCCTAGAGACCTACACTTGAGTTTTAATAGGGAATGGAAGTTGCCCTTCATCTTTATTTTGGTTGTGGGGCCATGTAAAAATATTATATGCACACGGAAGGAATGATGATGTGTGTTGTGTGTTTGCAGGCTCTCCTGGCAGCTCTCTCACCGTCCATCTTCGGTGCTCTCAAGCCACTGTGTATGGACTGGGTTGGACAGCTGTTGGCGATGGGCAGGTGAAGGAACGAGGGCCAGGCCAGGCTGGCTGGTACCAATTGCAGTTTATTCCAATCTCCTCTCCATTCTCCTCTGATTTCCCTTCTGCTTCTCTCTCTGGAGCTCCCTCGCCTGCTTCCTGCTCCAACGACTCCCTGACTCTCTTTGTCTGCCTCTGCCTCTGACCCCCTGATTCTTCCTCTCCTGATTTCTCACTCCCCTTCTGATATTACAGTCTTAGTTTATATAGCGATCATATAGGGTGGTGATACAAAGGTGGGTTGAACATTAACAAATCAAAAAAGAGGGGGAAAGACCACTCCTCCAGGAGATTAACTCAAGGACAAAATATCATCTACTGAGATTACTCCAGATTACTAGGAGATCCACTTATGGGTGGGATCCCATACAGGGTGTGTCGCTTTCTTCTTTCCTCAGCTAATAATCTACTTCAATAGTTGTAGTAAATCTACTTCTAATATTTCTAGCAATGTCATTCTGTATGAGTACAGTAAGAGATATATCAATTTAAAGTTTGGTTCTTCCTAAGGACATCTCACTATATATTCCAGACCACAGTCCTCAGGCCAGGTTAGTCTTCCTAACCCCAGCAGGGTCCTAATCTCATCGTTACTTCTGGATCATGACAACATTTGTCCATGATCATGCTCTCAACTTATAGTTGAGTATTGTGGCGCTTTGGCCTGGCCCATTTCGATGCCAGGGTAGCTCACAGCTTGCCCTGGTTCCACTGAGTCCCTCGTCGGGACCCTGCTTTTGGGGTGCTAGGAACTAAGGGCAACTAAGTCAGATGCCCAAGGGTAAATATATTTGGAGTCAAAGTCAAATCAAATATTACAAAACATAATATTAACTGTCTTCCTGTGTCCATACAGAAAGGACATTGCTTTAAGGTAAACTAAGTTGCCTGCAGCAAGGCTATGCTATCCTACAGGGTCACTCCTGGGAGTGCTCAGGTTTGCCAGATGGTGTTGGGGATCCAACCCGGAACTTGAGAGTGGCTCTATCACTTGAGTCACTCTCCCACCCACAACCCCACCCCAGTTGCTTTAAACCAGGAGTTTCATGGAAGGTTTTAAAGCTGGTACCACTTATATAGACAACAAATGAAAACTTGGTTTTTTCACCTCTCGGTTTTCAATCTGCAAGCTGGAGAAGGTATTGGCTTCTCAATCATGATACTCTATACAAAGGCCATTAGAACTTTTTCCCTGCTTAAAAACATGCTTGGAAAAACTATTAGAGGTTGAATTCACTGAAGGAAACTTGTTTGTAAAAGCATAGGATACCATGACAGTGAGCCCAGCTATCTGCCAGTGAACCATCCTTCACCGGATCTCAAAGGTGGTAAAGAGGGGACACAGTGGCAGTAAGAGGTTCTGGACAGCAGCTAACTCAGTTTCAGTCTGAAGCATTCTTCAAACTTGGGGCTCTCTTCCCTGCAATCCCTTTTTCCCTATATCCTCTGACCTGGGAGAACTTCTGTGGCAATGAATAGGTTATCCTCCTAAGCAGGGCTGGTGTGTAGAGCTCAATTCCAGAAACTACTCTCCACAAAGAGCCAGTCATGACTAGTGTGTCCCAGTACTGAATCCTGCTGTAGAACCCCATGTCCAGTCCCAGTGTTGATATCCAGCAATGGTGGACCTCAGGCTCAGGAAGTGCCAGTGTCTACCATAGCTGTACTCAAATCGGACCATCTCAGGGCTAGGAAATGGATACCAAGTACCTTATCATTAATCAGGTGTTCTGGAGATTAGAAAGGATTTATTTGTTAGAAATTCCAACACACTCTAGAGCATCTATCTAATGAGGTGACTCACATTCACATTTCAAAAGGGCTTCTGGAAGGGCCAACAGTCACTAAGCAGAAGTGAAGCAGGGGATATTTCTATACAATTGCCATGCTTGTCTTGCCAAAAGAAAGTACCTGAAAAGTTTTTTTTTTTTAAATTTTTTTAAATACAGACCACTCCCAGAGATTCTCAGCACGATGGTGCCTGTGTATTTGGTGAGACCTAGCAGTGCTGGGGAGCCACCACAGTCATATCTGGCCATGCTCAGGGTGCAATGTCGTGCCAGGAATGAAACTCAGGGCTTCACACGTTAAGGCAAGTGACATCTACCATTCTGGTACATAAAAAATTTTGGTCAAATATGTGGTGAGCAGAAGTAGTACTTTTAAGCTTCTGGGTATGTCTTCAGTTAAATTTTAGAAAATCCTTACTGTATTGATTCTAATAGGCAGTGACTGGAATGGAAAGTTCTAGATTTTGAAATGTCATTACCACTGACTGGTTCATTTGGTTTCAATTTCCTCATGTACATGTGGAGGGCTGTTGTCAATTCTGGGTTTAGAATGACATTGAAGCTAAGGGCATTTTCAAGAATGAAATACCACTGACACTTCAAGTAAGTGGAAGGAAAGGTACACAAATGGGACTACATTGAATTAAGAAGCTTCTGCACCCCAAAGGAAAATGATGACTGGGATACAAAAAGACTCCTCTGATAAAGGGTTAATGTCCAAAATATATAAAGCACTAGTAGAACTACAAATATAGACACACACAAATCAAAACCCATCAAAAAATGAGAAGAGATGAACAGAAACTTCCTCAAAGAAAAAATATAAATGGCCAAAGGGCACATGAAAATATGCTCTACATCTCGAATCATCAGGGAGATGCAAATCAAAACAGATACCATCTCACACCAGAGAGACTCACACACATCAAAAAGAATAACAATCAGTGATGGCACAGATGTGGGGAGAAAGCGACTCTCATTTATTGCTAGTGGGAATGCTGACTGTTCCAGGTTTTTTGGAAAATAGTGTGGACATTCCTCAAAAAACCAGAAATTGAGCTTCCATAAAACCAGCAATACTACTCCTGGGAATATGCTCTAGGGATCCTAAGACACAACGCAGAAAAGTCATCTGCACTCCTATGTTCATTAAAGCACTATTCACAAGAGCCAGAATCTGGAAACAACCTAAGTATCCGAGGTCAGCTGAGTGGATAAAGAAACTATGGCACATCTACACAATGAAATGCCATGTAGCCTCCAGAAAAAATGAAGTTATGAAATTTGCTTATACACAGATGGACATGAAGAGTATCATGCTGAGTGAAATGAGTCAGGGGAAGAGAGGCAGACATAGAATGATCACAATCATTTGTGGGATACAAAAAAACACAGTATGAGACTAATACCCAAAACAATAAAATGAAGGCCAAGACGACTGGTCCATGGTAGGAAGTTTGCCACAAGGGTGGAGGGAATGCAGTTAAAACAGAGAAAGGACCACTATGTCAACAATAGTTAGAAATGATAGTTGGAAATGATTGTTTTGAACAAGAACTGAGTGCTGAGGAGGTAAAGGTAAAAAAGGTAAAGGCCCTCCCGTTGATCGTCGATTTGCTCGAGCGGGCCCAGTAACGTCTCCATTGGAGACTTTGTTGTTACTGTGTCTGGCATATCGAATACTCTCGGTGGCTTGCCGGGCTCTCCGAGAGGGGCGGAGGAATCGAACTCGGGTCGGCCATGTTGGCCGCTTGTAAGGCGAACGCCCTACCCGCTGTGCTATCGCTCCAGCCCTGTGCTACTGCTCCAGCTGAGGAGGTAAAGTCATATAATACCCTTTCTGTAACAGTTTTGTAAACCACAGTGCCTAGGGGGGTGGGGGAGGGGGGGTTCTGTCATGGAGCACAGAGATGGGCTGGGATGGGTGGGAGGAAAACTAGGGACATGGGTGGTGGAAACATACACTGAAGAAAGGCTGGCTGTTGGAACATTGTTCTTGTGTGACTGAAACCCAACCAGGAACAACTCCGTAACTGTATTTCTCACTGATTCAATAAAATAAATAGTCTATCAAATGAATATACTTATGTTAACAACAAGTAAAGTAACATTTAATGAAAGGAACCAGAATTCCCATAGTGCATAGCAGACCAAATGGCAATTGCCACATAGACACATGAAACAAGGCAAAACTACAGACCCCAAAGACCTTCTTAGAGAACAGTAATATGAGAACTACAAAGAAAAAAAAAAGTACTGCCCAGCATCTGAGTGCTAATAGAGGTAGGAGGCTTTTCTCTTTGTGGTTGACTCTTCCCTCTTTCTTGTTTCCAGCTTTTAGAATTTTAGCTTATCCCAAAGTCTCTTCGCCAAGGCCTTGGGGCGGCAGGTTCAGAGCTGGAGGTCCTTCTGAATGCCCCACAGCGCGTTGGCACTCTTTTGGAGGCCTGCCTCCTCCTCAGTGCTGAGTGGCACTCGGACGTGCTCGGTGACGCCATTCTCCCCAAGGACGCAGGGGATGCTGAGGAAGACGTCCTCGCTGATGCCATAAAGGCCCTTCACTCGGGTGGAGATGGGGTGCACGCGCCGCAGGTTGCGGAGGATGCTCTCCGTCAGGTCGGCGATGGACAGGCCGATGGCCCACGAGGTGTAGCCCTTCATGCGGATGATCTGGTAGGCGCTGGCCACCACGTCCTGGTGGACGCGGCCCCAGGCTTCTGGGTCGTCCTTGGTCCCCAGGTGCTTGTTCAGGCTGCGGAGCGGGACGCCCGCCACGGTGACGCCACTCCACACGGGCACGCTCGAGTCCCCGTGCTCGCCCAGGACCCAGCCGTGGCAGCTCTCCGAGTGCACGCCCAGCCGCTGCCCCAGCAGCACGCGGAAGCGCGCCGTGTCCAGGTTGCAGCCGCTGCCCAAGACGCGGTTCGGGGGGAGGTCGCTCAGCTTCCAGGCCACGTAGGTCAGGACGTCCACGGGGTTGGACACGATGAGCATCTTGCAGTGGGGGCTGTAGCGGACGATGCTGGAGATGATCGGCTTGAAGATGTCCACGTTCCGCTGGACCAGGTCCAGGCGCGACTCCCCCTCCTTCTGGCGCGCGCCGGCCGTGATGACCACGAGGCTCGAGTGGGCGGTGAGCGCGTAGTCGGTGCCGGACACGATGCTGGGCATCCTCGCGAAGGGGCTGCCGTGCTGCAGGTCCATGGTCTCGCCCTGCACCAGCTGGGCGTTGGCGTCCACCAGGGCCAGCTCGTCCCCCAGGCCTTTGAGGAGGATGCCGATGGCACAGGCCATGCCCACCGACCCCGTGCCTATGATGGAGATTTTACTGTGACACTCGGCCTCCTCGCGGGCAAACGTCTTGAAGAACTCGGACTGGATGGACATCTGGCGGGCGGGGCTGCTGGGCCAGGCGGCCCTGCGTGGGGCACCTGCCGGCGAGCGGGGCCCCGGGCCCATCCTGGGGGTCGGGAAACGAGCACTCGCAGTGCCCACTCTCCCAGCAGCCCGCACAACTCCCGCTGCCCGGCTCATGGCCCCTAGCTGCTGAGACCACGGGAGAAAATATATCAGCCCCCGCCCCGCCAACGAGTTCCTGGGTGGGCGAGGAGCCGTTGCGCTCGGGACTTCCGGTCGGCTGGCTCTCGCGCGCCTGCGCACTGGGCGTTTAGACGTCACTTCCGCCTCCCCGACGGCTTCCGGTGGCGTCGGTTGCGTGCGTGGCCTCGTCGGGGCCGCATGGGGCTCTCCTCGGGCAGCGGCTGGGCGGATGGATGGCGTCCTCTGGTAAGTGAATTCCACGGTGTTCCTGAACACGATTCGTGTCAATAACTCTGACGTGTGAGGAGTCTGTCCGGGCCCCTGGGTTGCCCTGTTTTCAGTGTTTCAAGAAGAATGGGGTTCCACCCTCTGGAGGGACCCCCAGCTCCTGGGTGGGCGGGGGGAGGGGAAGCGAGCAGCTCGTGCTGGGCCAAGGGCGTTCTCCAGCACCGTTCTCCTGCCGAGAGAAACGGGGGCTCCTGGCTTCAGGGGTAAGCAGTTCGAGAACCTTCTCTCCGGGCATGCGCAGGAGCCCTAGCAGGCGTGGTCCCTAGAGACGCGGGAAGCGTTGGATCCTGTGGGCAGAGCGTATAGTGCGTCCGGAGTCCGGCCCAGGCCGGTGCTGTTGGAGCCCACCACTGTCGGGAGCCCTTTCCTGAGACCCCGTGATGAGCTCGTGGGAGGTGGGAATTCTCTCCACCTGCAGAACACCCCACCCCAGCCCCGACCCTTCTGGAACGGCGACCTCAGCCAGCACACAACAGAGCTCTGCTTTAGACTACGAACCTTAGCGGGGATTGGGGAGTGCAAGTGTGGGGGTGGATGGGTCTGGCGGGGGTGAGGGAGGTGCGGATAAGTCTAACCTGGGGCTCAGGTATTTGGAGCTCTCCCTCCACTTTCGAATTTGGAGTCGGGGGTTGGGACCACATGCTCAGGGCTAACTCCCAGCTCTGTGCTCCGAAATCACTCCTGGAGAGTTCGGGATGCTCTGTGCAGTGAACCCACCAGGTCAGCCGCGTGCAAGACCAGGCCTCACTCCTGTACTATCTCTGGATCCTGGACTTGGGCCTTGACACGGTTTTCCGTTGAGGATTTGAAAGTGGCCTCCTCCAGCAGTCGGTCTGGGCCAGGCCGCAGGATATAATGGAATTCAAATAAGGGACACTCTTAAATGAACCCTGGCCGAGGGGTTCGTTAACAAGAGCCACACGGACAGTTGTCATTTCCTTGATCCTGGTCCTGACAGGGCACGTTTTCACGTGCTGCCTGGCTCGCCGTTCCTATAATGACTCCTCTGACCGTTGAAGTCATTTTCTAACACAAGTGTTCTTGAGGCTGGAATTCAAGGACCAAAATACTCTTACCTTCTTGCTTCAGATTTTCTTCCTAGAGCCTTAACATCTTGAGAAATATAATCTCTCTGGCAGCTGCCTCTTCAGGCTTTCCCCTGAGTCACAACTAAATCAACTTTGGAGGGGTGGGGGGGAAGGACACACACAATCCAAAATAAAAATACCTCAAACAAAGCTGCTTTTCATTTACAGTAAGTCTTGAGATCCAGATCCGAAGGGAAAAGGCAACAAAGATGAAGAGACACACGGGCCCTCCAGAGTAGACGGGCCGCTCAACAGTGCGAAATGCCAAACATAGATCCTTGCTCTCTCATAGAATAAAGGCAGAATGACCGTCTGGTGCTGTCTCCCCTTGCCATGCCTATTCTTCATCAGGAATAGACTGTAGTCAGATGACTGGTTCAAAGTGCACTGTCAAAGCTGATGCCATCCCATCCTACTGTTGGTCACACCACCAAGAAAAAAGGAAGCAGTAGCTGACCATGACCAAGTCTCCAGACCAAGAAAGAAGGATTCGGCTGAGTCATTCTGCTCCTTCAACCATCTCCAGCTCCCCTGGCTCCAGTTCAAAGAGGCCACCCTTTCCTTCAGAATCACAGCCCCCCCCCCCCCCCCCAAGTAGTGATGTTTTAAATTCCTGTGTGAGGAGGGACCCTGTACCTTTCTCCATGACAGGGTTTACGTGTGATTACATGAAGGACTTTTTCAGCATACAAGGCATCATCATTCATCTGCCAGTGTGCCCTTGTCCTGTAAGACATGTCTTGTACAGGAAAGGGCTATTCAGTAAACCCCTGTGGGGTGGGAGAGCAACTATGAAACTGAGTTGAGTAAAGAAAGAGCGTGAAAAAATGAAAGATGGGAGACAGGGATGGTCCCAGAATGCTGAATGAGGTGGAGAATGTGGGTATCCACTTGGGGTTTCTTAGCAAGCTTGAAGTATGTGTTAAAAAAAAAACAAACCTATGAATATGAAAAGATTTCTTATTTTTATAACACATACCTACCTCCACCTCATAACATGTTAAAAAACTACAGTACCATGAACACAATAAAATGCTCAGAGGCAGAATATTTTTATCCTTTCAAGTTATTTTAAATGCTTTGTTCTTAGGAAAGCTTTAAAAAACAACTGATGCACGAAACCCCTGATCTGCAAAATAATAAATAAAAAGAAAGTGGTAAGACAAGCTGATCTGAAATAGTCTTTAAACCTGCCAGCATGCATATATGGATATAATCATGTTTAAAGGCTTTGTGATTTGAAAGGCAAAATATAGTTTTAAAACAAAATAGTGGGCTGTGGTTCTACTGCTCACTGATATAATCTGTACAATTTTGTGATCGTTATGTGGGGGTCTTTATCCACCCCAGCCTCTGAAATTACTTATCTCTGTTGGCAGTACAAGGAATGCTGGGAAAGGACGTGAGCAGGTACACAGAGCTTTGTCTTGGTAGAAATGAAGGCAGAACGCCCGTCCCAACAGCAGTACTGGATCTAACATCCTAGTCATGATATTCGAATACCTGTATGAGAGAAATTGGCAGGCTCCAGTAAACTGAAATTTCACTTTAAAGGCACTGTAACTTTTGAGGCAGTGTAAAACAGATGCTTGTATTAATCATTCAGAAGGGGGAAGGGAAATATTTTAATGTGCAGTATAAATATAAAACATGAAATGAGTGCATATTTCAATGTCCCTAACTGATAAAAGAATCAAGAGCGTCTGACTACTGTTGTAGGCTCTCACTGCATAGGTTAATTCTCTAGAATTAACCAGCGGAACCAATACTGTTCTCGATTAGCGACTTCTTTATTCATCAAAAAACGTGGCATACAGGATCTACTCATATACAGAACCTGTTTCTAATGTGAGGTGGCAACCCTACTAATGTCACCTTTATAAACTCAAAACAGTTGCAGTGGTTATGAAAGTTAAACATTCATTTGCCCACTGAGAAGAGAGTGGGCAGCGGGAAGAGGAAGCATGTTCCGATCAGGGCTCGAAGCAGAAGAACGCGGCAGGACAGATGCTTGCAGGAGGCCACACCGGACTCAGCCACAGCACCTCGGACTCTGGCCTGGACTCGGTCTCACGAGCCCCGGCCTGGGAAGATCCAGTAGTGTCTCTGGCCTTTGTCCACTAGATGCCAGTTGCATCCCTGCAGTTGAAGCAACCAAAATGATCTCTGCGAAGGTGGGGAGGCTGGGTACAAGAAGTTAAGTTGGTGCCTGGTCACGGGCTCAGGGATGGAAGGTGAGATGTGACCCAGTGTGTTTCCCCTGACCCTCTGCGCTGGTCTCTGACTAGTGAAAGACACGTGGTTAGTGTCCTTCCCTTTGGCGGCCTACACAGAAGCAACAGTGCTGAGAAAAAGGAATATCAGGGGTTGGGAATGGGGGGGGGTTGCAAAATCCCGAGTGGAGTGGAGCTGGGGAGAGAAGAGGCGCATCTCTTAGTCCTGAAGGTTTGGAGAAGCTTCTCTGGATGCGAGAGGAAGCCTAATGGACACTGGCAGGGCGTGGAGCTCCCTGGGCAAAGTGCATACTGGCCCTAGAGGACTTGACTGTTGCATTCGGAGATGGTGGTTCTGTTGAGAGCGAATGGGGCATCAGGAATGAGGCTGTTTCTCATAAACATTGTCTTCGTAAGATTCAGCTGTAGTCCAACCTTTCCACACTCACGGTCGAAGTCGGCCAGCATTTGTGTCGCTTGGCTAATGTTTGGTATTATCAAAACAATGTCATCAGCAAAGCGGAGGTGGTGTAGTTGCCGACCATCGATCTTCACTCCCATTCCTTCCCATTCCAGTCGTCACATGATGTTCTCGAGGGTGGCACTGAAGAGTTTCGGTGAAATGGTATCACCCTGCCTAACCCCTCTCTTGACATCAAGAGGAGTCTGGTGGAGGGAGGAGGGCGGGCTTGTGAGGCGTCTCTGGTTTTAAATCAAGGAGTGAGACACCTTCCCGGGTAAGGCCAGGCTCCATCCACTGGGAGCAGCGGGGCGGGGAGAAGGGCTGGTGAGCAGAAGTACCCCGAGCAGGCCTGGCTGGAACGCAGGAAAGCGGGACTGGATGGAAGATGGTGCTGGGCTGGGGCTTGGGCGGGAGGCGGGTCAGAGAGAAGGGAAGGGGTAGTGTGAGAGTGACCAGCGGGTTGCCTCGGCTTCAGGTCAGCGTCCAGAGAGGGGCTGGATGGAGTCATCCGAGACTGGGAACTGGTGGCAGCAAGACCGTACACGGGGCGTGGGGGAACTGTAGCCTCGGGCAAGTAACCAGCAGCAGGTGCCGGAGGAAGCGCTCAGTGGGGTCCAAGGAAGACAACAGAGCCAAGACTTGGGTCTGGACACCAGGACAACAGGAATGACCCTGGGCTGCAGTTTTGGAGGTGCTGGGGAAGCAGCTGCATCGTGGAGGTCAGCACGAGGAGACGGTGCCTGTGGGCACCCTGATCAGACACCTCTCCCAGGCCCAGGAGTGGACATGGGTGTGTGGGGGGGGAAACAGATGCAGGTTCCCCCAGGCTGCAGCAAGGCTGAAAGACGTTTCAGGAGTGAGGTCCTCACAGACACCAGGGAGCCCAAACACCCGGGGTAGCGGCAGGAAGAGA